CCACCAACACTCACGTAAGCAGCAGTCAAGAAATTACTTGACGTATTGCATTAGGCAAATCTGCAGCACAAGAGCTCTTTAAAATTTTCAAGAGCAAAGATATCAGCTTAAGGACTAAAGTGAACCTGACCCAAGCCGTGGTATTTTCAATACTTCATATACATTTGAAAGTCGGACAATGAATAAAGAATACCATAGAAGATACATTTGAGTTATGGTGCTGGGAAAGAATTTTAAAGATATCATAGACTGCCAGCAGAACAAATAAATCTGTGTTGGAAGAAGTACAGTCAGAATGCTCCTTAGAAGCCAAGATGGACAGACTTCATCTCTCATATTTCAGACATTATCAGGAGGGACCAGCCCCTGGCAAAGGACATCATCCTTAAAGTGGAGAGGGAGACTCCTAACAAGATGGATTAGCATAGTGGCAGCAGCACTGAGCTCAAGCACAGCAGCAATTCTGAGGGTGGCACAGGAATGGGTGGTGTCTCATTCTGTTGTACAAAGGGTCACTATGGGTCAGAAATGACTGGATGGCACTTAGCTAACTTTTTTTTTTTCTTAAATGTTTTATTGTGAATCATGTGACAGTATACATGGGAGAGCATCAGTCTTAATTTCATTCTATCGTATATCGTCTCATTGCCATGGTTACAATCCCCTCCATGCAATCCTTCCCCCGTACCCCCAGGTCTTCAGCACACAGTTGCTCTCCCTCTCTGGATCTAAAGTCTCCAGCTGCTCCATCTCTCCACGTCATCATCTCTGGCTCCATTTCAGACATCACTGCTTCTCTGGGTAGGGTCCCACTCTCTGCTCTTCTCCCTTGATGGTCCTAGGGACCTCCACTCCTAGACTGAAAAGTTAATCACTCCCCTCCTTACTTAGCTAACTTTTAAATAGCTATTCATTCTCTTTTTTTTCCACAAAAACTATATATTATCTGAGGATATGTATTATTTATAGTTGTCATTGTTAGCTGCCAAGTCATCCCTGACAAGTGGTGACCCCATGTACAATGGGATTAGACCGTTGAGATCTATAGGATTTTCAATGACTGATTTTCATAAGTAGATCACCAGGCCTTTCTACCCAGTCTATTTTAGTTTAGAAGCTTTACTGAAATCTGTTCAGCATCATAACACACAAGTGTACCAGAAGTGCAGTGGTCAAGAATCGAACCCAAGTCTTTTTCATAAAAGACAAGAACTCTACCATTAAATCACCACTGAAATCCTAAAACTCTTCATGCTGTTGTTGTTAAATGCTGTCAAGTCAGTTCCGATTCATAGCGATCTTGCATAGGGTTTTCAAGATGTGGCTGGTGAGCTTGAACCACTGACCTAGCAGTTCAAACCAACTTATAGTCCAGGTCTGCATTAATAGAATACTTATATATATATTCTAGACACTGTTTTACTAATACAGATTCACAATGAACAATCCTTCATGGATCTTACATTCTGGTATCACAGTTAATCTGTATTCTCCATACTGCCTAGCATAACAGATACAAGGGGAAATGTATGCTTAGTGAACACTTCAAAAATAACTGATTATCTGTGGTTACTTGACGCTTAACAAGCAGGGTCCATTAATTATTGGCAAGTATGTTAAAAATGCAAGAACTATTTTTACAAAAGGGTATAGAGGAGGATAGTGATAATTCTTATGTCCTTTAACTAATGAAAGTAGATTCCTATGTCCCAAACCAAAAACCAAACCCACTGTCACATGTTGTTGCTGTTGTTATGTGCTGTTGAGTCAACTCCGACACATAGTAACCCTATGCACAATAGAACAAAACATTGTCCAAGTCTGTACCATTCTCACAGTTGTTATGTTTGAGCCCATTGCTGCTGCCAGTGTGCCAATCCATCTTTTATACTGACCCTCCACTCTACCCAGTCTCATGTCTTTCTCCAGTGCTTCCTGATAATATGTCCAAAATACTGTTAAATGTCGTAGTTTATGTTTGTAAGCAACTGAATTGATAAAGCTGGCTTATATTGTTATGAAAAAACAACTACCAAAAATGAAACAATAAATAGAACTGATGGCTCAAATCTATTACTCCATCAACTGTATCAAATCTCCACCTTCATGATGAATAAAGCATTCACTCCTCAACAAACAACAGTCTAAGACTTCATGATCGGCACTACTCATAACAAAGGGTCACTCCGATATCTATACCTACTGCCTTCAAATCAATTCTGACTCAGAGCAACTATGTAGGATAAAGTAGGACTGCTCCTTAGAGTTTGTTGTTGTTGTTATGTGCCATGGAGTCAGTCAGTTCTGACTCACAGTGACCCTGTACAGGATTTATAGACTTTATGAGACTGTAAATCTTTACAGGGGCAGGCAGCCTCATCTTTCTCCCATAGAGCAAGTGTGTGTTTGAACTGCCAGCCTTGCAGTTAGCAGCCCAACACTTAACCAACTGCACTCTAGATCTCCTTTTTTATATTTAAAAAAACAAACTCCCGAGATGGTGTTATTGATAAAATCCATTCAGGATGTGTCATATGCCTTCAAAAGTGGTAAAGAAAGAATAAATGTGAGATATTTTAATTTTGTTTTGTTTCAAAACATTCCACAATAGATTTTTTACCTAATTGTTGATTTATTTAAAATAATCGCTGGCTGTGACTTTTATTCAAATTACCTTTAATTTTGACCTCTGTTATTAAACCAGACACTCCAAGAGTTTTGAAAACCATGCTGAACATGGCTGCTAAATCTATGTAGTAAACATTCAGATGTAATTACTTTATTAGTTAAGAAATTAAAGCAGTATTTCCTCATGCCTTTTCTTTCACTTGAAATTGTCATGGTTACCTATGTTTATCAACAATAATGTTTCATTTATAAAACTTGTTGTTGTTAAGCACCATTGAGTCAGTTCCAATTCATAGCAATCCTGTATGATTTCTGAGTAGCAGATGGTGGGTTTGAACAGCTGATGTTGGTTTGCAGTACCATGTTGATATTGAGTTTATATATTAATAGGCTAGTGTTTTTAAAGACAACAACTTTTTAACTTAAAAAATCCACTGTCAGGGAAGAAGAATAATGAAATAAATACATTCTAACCTTTGGTGTTATACAGACCTTATACCCAATCTTGGTTAACCTCTACAGACCTATATTATATTCATCTATAGAGTGGACATACATTTCCCTAATTCACATATTGTTTTGTTTAGATATTACATTTACATTAAGGATGAGTCTGTGTTACTAAATCCGGCTGTCAGTTTTTTATACTCATATTATGAGTCCTGGTGTTGTGCTGTAGAATAAGCACTGGACTGTTAACCAAAAGGTCAGTAGTTTAAACCACCAGCCATTCCTCAGAAACCCTATACAGGATCACTATGAGCTAGCAAGGACTTGATGACACTTAACAGCATTGCATATTAAGTATCAAAATGTGCCTAACCCACATGAAAATGCATCCAGTCCTCATCTTCACACTCTATATCCTCATCTCCAGTCATCCAAGTGACACTCTCTTTGACCCCAGCCATTCAGAGTTGCACTGGATCTCACAAATTAAAACACCACCATTCATCAAACAAACCACCCATGTTGTGCACCTCTGACTCTAATCACCTGGAGCTAGGTCAGAGTTCACAAAACTAAAGATCCTAGTCCTTTACAATGCCAACTATGCAGATACTAAATGCCAGCTTGGGAAGTCCACCTAACACCCAATCTTCTGTCCTGATGGCCACAAATTTGTGACTCGTTTCCCACTACCTTTTTAAGATAACTTCCACAAGCATGATGGGGAGTTCAAGGCCCCAACCTTTGACTTGCTGACTCCTGTTGTTCATTTTTGAGATAAATGATTCACTGGAACAACTCTCAGAATTCAGCAGCACTGTGGCATTGGGCTGTTAACTATAGGGTTCAAACACACCATGTGCTCCACAGGAGAAAGGCGAGACTGTCTAGTCCCATAAAGATATACAGTTTCAGAAAACTTTTAAAGGGTTGCTGTGAGTCAGTATGGAGCCCTGGTGTGGCACTCTGGGTTAATGTGCTGGACTGCAAAGTCGCTTTGAAGCTCAAGGTTCAAGATCACCAGCCACTCCTTGGAAAACTTATACAGAGTTGCTATGGGTGGGAACCAACTTGATGGCACTTAACAACAACAAGTTAGTATGGAGTCCTGGTGTGGTACTGTAGGATCAGCATTGGACTGCTAACCACAAAGTTGGTGGTTCATAAATACCAACCATTCCTTGGAAACCCTATACAGGGTATCTATGAGTCAGAACTGACTCATAGGCACTTTATAACAACAATAATTATTGTAATGAATCAGCATCAACTCAATGGCCATGAGTTTTGGGCTTATGTTATACTTATAAGTACCTATTTAGTTTAATCAGAAAGGTTATTAACAAAGAAAGACATAGAGCAAGATTTGGGAAGTTTCTCAATGTAACGCTTCCATGTCCCTGAGGAAGTGTGCAACCCTACCCAACGCAGAGTCTTCTGGCAATCAGGAAGCCCATGGGATGTCCATGTCCAGGACTTTTGCTTGACCTCATTGCATAGCCAATATGCCTGGATAATTGAATAATAACACCCTCTCTTCCTGTGGTTAGCTGATGTGGTGGTCTTTGTGGCCATGCCAGTCCATAATTATTTGCACAAATCCTCAAGTGTAGTCTAACAGTTTTAGATAGCAAAGGTACCTTGATTACCCAAGACATTTCACTGATTATCTATCAGAAACCAAGCATGAAAGACCATTTAAAAAGTGGTAATTCATGACACACATGTACAATGTCTTAAAAAAAAAAAAAAATCTGCTTCCATCTCTGTAACAATGGAGCAATTATCCTAACCTAGAACACAGTATTTAGGTTAAAATTTTAAAGTATGGAAATCGAGGTTATACAATTAACTTAAGAAAACCTTATTGCTCATTTTATATGTAAAATCAACAGCTCAAGAGTAAGGATAGAATAACTTACCTGTGACTGCTGGTCTGTAAATTTATCATGATACCTTTGGACCAACTCTCTAAGTTGCTTCTCTTTTTCATTTTTTGATGGTGATACTGTGCTTATGGTACCCAGGGGAATGGAAGGTAGCTGTTCCTTCTGATGACAACTTTATAGTCAAAAAGTACAAGATATGAGATCAGGAGGAAATAAAAAACTATTTATAGTCTGCAAAAGATTATTTATTTCCACAAGAAGTTATTTATATCTTATGTCCAAAATTGAAACACAACAGAAAAGCATGGTGCACAGTTCTATTCTGCACATATATGGTTGCCATGAGAAATTCATATGTAACTCTTAAAAACTATCAAATAACTTTGGCTCTAAACTAGAACAAAATGGCCACATGAATCTTTTGCTTGATGACCCAGGATCACTGTGAAAATGGGCAACTACTAGGACACAGATCAATGCTTGGTAACGGCCATGGTGGTCCTTCATCATATCATCCAATGACCAGGAATGCCACATCCTCCCCAAGCTCCCTGTAACTCTCAGTTTATCTGCTTTTAGCAGTCACTCTACTTCCAGTTTCCATGTTAACACTGTTTCTAATCATTAGTGGGTCAATAATAAATATATTAAAGAATCATATTGTTGTTGTTATTGTTATGAGCCATGGTGTCGATTCTGACTTCTGACTCATAAGTTGCTGAGGCTGTAAATCTTTACAGGAGCAGAAAGCCTCATCTTTTTCCTGCAGAACAGTTGGTAGTTTCGAACTGCTGACCGTGAGATTAGCAGCCTGAATTGTAACCACTATACTACCAGAGCTCCTTAAGAATCATGTAAAACTATATATAAATATAATTTTCAACAGGCTATGGATGAGGGTTTCCTAGTTACAAAAAAGTAATGGATGAATTTTGTGATATGGTTTAAATGGTGTAAGTCCTCTTTTTTTTCTTCTTACTTTTGGTCTCATGGTCACATTCTGGGTCACAAGCAGAGTTAAATATTATATTGTCCACCTTGTTCTGGAAGCTTGACATGGAGAGGAAGTGGACACAGCTTTGGTTCTAGGCATGGCTGGGAATGTGAGGTTGTGGGCAAAATGTTGAGGGCAGTTGTTGAGCCTACTCTAGAATGTCACCGCCACCAAGAGTTGCTACCAGCCTGAACCCAACTCCTAGTGACCCTGTGTATGTTAGAGCAGAACTATGCTCCACAAGCTTTTCAACAGATGATTCATTCTGAAAGCAGTGTACCAGGGCCTTCTTCTGAGGCCTCTCTTGGTGAACTAACACCTCTAACTTCAAACAGCAGTCTAATATATTAACAATTTGCAACATCCAGAGATTTTGCCCTAGGAAAAAATGTTTTGTATTACTGATAAGAAGTTCTACTTAGGTGTCATAAAGAATAGGGACAAAATCTATAGAAAATAAATGTGTCTTATGCATACAGAGGCAGTTGGGGCTAGAGGTGGCCTTCTCTCATCTAAAACAGAAAGGGAAAATTGAAGTAGATCAAACCCACTATTTCTGTTTTTCAGAGCTGCAAAATATATTTTTCTTGCTTCTTAACAACAAAGAAGAGTAAAATAACTACAATAAAATTCAGTTACCACTGTGAAAAAAATGCTTAATTCCACCCACATATTGTGTTTGTTATTATTATTTTCAAAGAAAAATTCTAGATAAACAAATTCAGGGTACAACTACTATATATACAGCCACCCACAGGGTTCATTTGAAGACATCTGTGGGGTGGCGCCCAGACAGGCTTCTATTTCTTTGAGACATTTAATATTTTATTAAGAAAAAAGAAACTCAAGTATTTTATTAACACTCAATCCATTCAATGTCTTCATTTAAGCGTTTTGGAAATGCATTAAATTTTAATATGCATAAGAAATGCAGCCATTTTTAACACCCTTTTCAAAATTCAGTCATTTTGGGTTTAGTCAAGTGATAAGGTATATTTTTTATACTATTTTAATGCATATGAATGCAGATCATGAACATAATGGAAGCATACTGATATCTGTTTCTTAAGTTGTCATTGTTAGATACTGTTGAGGCAAACCCACAGCGGCCCTGTGTACAACACATTGAGAACAGTACCTAGTCCTCACCAATCTTCACAATATATGCTATATTTGAACTTATTGTAGCAGCCAGTGTGTCAGTCCATCAAGTTGGGGTTTGACCCTCTATCAAGTATGGTGTCCTTCTCCAGGGATTAGTTCCTCCTGATAACATGTCCAAAGTACACGAGATGAAGACTTTCCATCCTTGCTTCTAAGGAACATATTGTCAAGGTAGATTTCCTCACTCTTCTGGCAGTCAAGGGTATATTCAATGTTCTTCACCAACACTATCATTTAAAGACTAAATTCTACTTTAATCTTGCTTATTCATTGTTCATCTTTTGCATACATACGAGTGACTGAAAATACTATGGCTTGGGTCAGGTGCACCTTAGTCCCCAAAATGACATCTACTTTCTAACACTCTAAAACGTTTTTGGAATCCTGGTGTGGCATTGTAGGATAAGCACCACACTGCTAAATACAAGGTTGATAGTTCAAACCTACCAGTTGCTCCTCAAAAACCCTATAAAGGGTCACTATAAGGAGCTCTGGTAGCGTAGTGGTTACGAATTGGGCTGCGAACCTTAAGGTCAGCGGTTCGAAACTACCAGCCGCTCCGCGGGAGAAAGATGAGGCTTTCTACTCCCGTAAGGATTTACACCCTTGGAAACCCTGTACAGGGTCGCTATGGGTCGGAACCGACTCGACGGCACTTAACAACAACAACAACAACAATGAGTCAGAATCAACTCGACAACACTCAACAACAAAATCAAGTGTATTTACAGCATATTTTCCCAATGCAATACATCATTTGATTTCTTGACTACAGCTTCCATGGGCATTGATGATGGATCCAAGTTAAATGAAATCCTTGACAACTTCAAACATTTTTATATTTACCATGTTGATGCTTATTGGTCCAAGTGTGGTGTTTTTTTATTGTCTTTATGATGAGATAGAAGCTATACTAAAGACTGAAGTCAAATCCATTCTTGAGATAGTCTCTAAATTTAGGTGGGATATACTCAAGGTTGGAGTCCAGATGTGGTGCTCTAGGACAGGCACTGGACTGCTAACTGCAAGCTCAGCAGTTCAAACCCACTAGTCAATCCACCAGCTGCTCCACAGAACCCTATACAGTACCAACTTAATGGCATTTAACAGCAGGAACAGTACCCAAGGTCATACATTGACTCTATTATACTAGTTTCCATTTTCATCAGCTTTAATTTGAACTTGTATATAAAGTGTTGATGGTCTGTTCCACAGTAAGCCTCTAGGCTTGTTCTGACTGGTAGTACAGTGCTTCTCCATCATCTTTTACCACAAATATAGCTAATTTGTGTATTCCATCTGGTAAGGTCCATGTGTATGGTCACAGTTTACGTTATTCACTACTATTAGTGAATAAAGAAGAACCAATAGTGCACATTCTTTGGACCAGGATATCCCTGAACATAGAGACTCTTGATGCAGAGACAGAAAGCTTGAGGAGTGGTAGAAAAACAGCAGAACAATGAGTCAGATCACAAGACAGAGCAGTGTGCTTCCTAGCCCACAGAGCAAGTAAAGTTCAGTGACTTTGGGCAGGAAGCTTGTTTGCAAAGTGGAGTGCCTGCTGACCCATGGAGTTAGAGCTGAGTGCCTTCAGGATGAGGCTATGGTAGATCAGTATGTCCGGTGGGCATTTATCTGCAGTCTAGAAAAGCTTTGAACATTTCAGAGCAGAGACTAGGCCAAGGGGCTGAGCGTTAGAGCTAGGCCTGCCTGTGGGCATGGCAGAGGTGAGGCTGTCCTGACTGGAAGAACTGTGCCCTCAATGTCTCTGACTCTGAATTTTAACCTGTTAACTTCTCTAATCAATCCCACAATGATGAGTATTGTGTCTGAGTTCTGTGTGGCCATTGCAATGAATTATTGAACTCAACCGAGTTAGGGATATAGGAGACATGGTTTGCCAACATTTTTTTGTTTTCTCTCAGTAGGGAACAGAAATAGGAACTGAACATGGCAACCAGGTTTCCAGCATCCAATTCAACTAGGACAGTTCTGCATTGACCTATTTTATTATTTATGTGGGTACTGAGAAACTTCATTTGAAAACAAAAAGTGGACTCTGCTTCAATAAAACAAAAGGGGGAAAAGTTTGAAAAGTCCCTGGGCCATGTGAATTCTTAGCACCCTCTGACATTTTTCTTCAGTTTCTAAGTAGGATTGACCTGGAGACTCCAGATGGAAGAGGTGTCAGCAGCAATTTGTTAGCTCATTCCTTGTATGTTTTCTCTCTATTACTCTTTTTCAGGGCTGGATATAAATAGCCAAATAGGATCCATTACCATAATATTTATATTAGCAATATTGATCCACTTACCCAGGCAGAAGGACTTAGAAGGGATTCCATGGGAAAGCCTTTGTTAAAGGGGAGCATTAAAACACACCTCCCACCCCCAGCCAGGGAAAAAAAAGTTAGTTCAAAAGGGTTGGGAACAATGCTGACATCCATCAATATTGAGTTAGTCTTTTTACTGTTTAGACTGAACTGCTTCCTCCAAAAGCACAAGGCAATAAAATCAATATATGACTTAAATGGAAAAGCAGATGGTCTAACAGTCAGTGCCCCTGGAGACACCCTCTGTGTAACACTCCAGCATGATAAGGGCATAAGCTATGTGAAAATGAACTGGAAGTCACCATTCTTAAACACTGGGTCATGGTCTTCCACCAGTGGAAGTGCAAAGCCTTTATACGGCAATGTCTATAAATAGTTGCACCTAGGTCTCTTTTATCTTGTTGAAAAATACACACTAATGAGACATCTTCCCCAGGGTAGCAAATAACTAGAAAAAAATTGAAGAAATGGCACCTCCTCAGGTAAAATCCATTTATAGTTGATATTTTCTAGTGGATAACAGATTTTAGAAATCTCTGTCATATCTACCTGTTTTCCAAGGGGTTAGGATTATTAGCACAAATCCAGATATCAAGAAATTCTTTCTCCTGATAATTAGCATTGGAAGGCAAGACTCTCCACTTGAGGCAAAGATCTGATAAAACAAAATCATACACAAAATAGACCACAATAGAAATGAGTTAATTATAGTAAGATGTCAGTTTGAATTTACCAAGAGTGTAAGGGTGTCTCTGGATCCAGACAAGTCAAAGCTTGATCACATATCATTATACACTCAACAATAAAACTACTCTAGGATTCTATGATATGCTGAAAATAAATAATGATAATAGTAACGATTATTATTATAGTTTAAGTTTTCCTCCAGTTAATTTCTGCTGCTTTGTAGCAAAAACACCTTAACTAATAGATACCAATCTACTTCTTCCTAAACCACATTAAGAGTACCTTTAACATGTATCTCCCATTTTCTCTAGATCTATAAGGAGCTCTAGTAGCGTAGTGGTTACAAATTGGACTGCTAGTCTCATGGTCAGCAGTTCAAAACTACCAGCTGTTCCGCGGGAGAAAGATGAGGCATTCTGCTCCCGTAAAGAATTACAGCCTAAGAAACCCTGTACAGGGTCGCTATGAATCGGAACCAACTCCATGGTACATAACAACAACAACAATAATCCATCTGCCGATACCACCATCTTTTGGTCTACAACCATATAACTAGCATAATAAAGAAAATCAAGCTCTATGAATCATTTACTACCTTTCCTTGCCCTGCACTATTTTCTGCTCTCCTTCCACTGTCCAGCTTACAGATTCTGAAATCTGTGTCCATTTCCCCCACTTAGTCTAACCTTGTTCATTAGGATCAATGCATACTACTTTCTCTGTTGTTGTTACTTGCCTTTGAGTCAGTTCCAATTCATAGAAACTCTGGATAGGGTTTCCAAAGAGCAGCTGATGAGTTTGAACTGCCAACTTTGTGGTTCAAACTGACATTGCTGTCCAGTGATTTATTCCACAGTGCCACACCAGGACTCCCTTTTCTATATGCTATACTTAAATTTGACCATGGCTTCCCTCCAGACCCACTTCCATCCAAGAGAGAGGCAGTTTGCAAAGTGATTAAGAAATTGAATTTGGTATTCCATCAGTTTTGACTTTGAACCTCAGCTCTCTCACTTAAAATTCCTATCATCTTTGACCAATTACTTAACTTCTATATGTTTCAGTATTATCATCTGTAAAAAGCGATTATGCTTAAGAATTCTTTGGTAGTAGAAGTGGTTAACATGCTCAGCTGCTAACAGAAATGTTGGAGGTTTTATTCACTTAGAGGTGCCTCAGAAGTCAAGACTAGCAATCTAGGTCCAAAATATTAGCCATTAAAAACCCTATGGCGCACAGCTCTACTCTGACACACATGGGGTTACCATGAGTTGGAAATGAATCACTTGCAACTGCTTAACAGTACTTTTTTTTGTGTGTGAATTATGTGCTAGTTTACATAGGTGAACATTATCTTTACATTCATCCTATCATATTTTGTTTCATTGCAATCATCACAATCACCTGCATGCATCATCAAATAATCAAAGGGTATACCCCACACACTTGCCCCTCGATCGCCAGCACACAGCCCCTGTCACTCCATGAGTTCAGAGTCCCCAGCTGTCCTTCTGTCCACGTCATCATCTATGCCTTCTGTCCACGTCATCGTCTATGCCTCCATCCCTAGCTTCACTGCTTCCCCAGACAGGGTTTTGCACTTTGCTTTTCTCCCTTGATGGCTCCAGGGATCTCCTCTCCTGGATTGCAAAATCAGCCACTCCCCTCCTTTTGTTACCAAACATTTACATTTACCTTTCCAACACTCACTGTCAGGCTGCTTACATAGTAATTGACCTCAAAGGATTACTATGAGGATTAAATGACATAATAACATTAATAATAACAAGGGGAGCATGTGGCTCTGTAAGAAGAACACTGGACTGAAAACCACAGGTCACTAGTTCAAGCCACTCACTGCTTATTGAGAGAAAGATGCAGCTTTCTGCTCCAGCCAAGTTTTACAGCCTCAGAAACCCTATACTAGTTCATTATTAGTTGGAATCTACTCAACAGCAATTAACAACAACAAAGTTAATAATAATGATGAGGATAAAAATCCCACAGTGATAAGCAGTATCCTAGGACTTAGTAAAATTTTACACTAAATCATTAATTTTATTCTCATATAACTTTGTAAGGTAGCTACAAGTGTTAACTTCCTTTTATAAATGAGGAAACTGAGACTGAGAGAGGTTAAGTAACTAATTTGTCCACTTCATAAAGCTCTCAGGTACTGGAGATTGTATTCTAACATCTTAATACAGAATTGTTTTTTATTCTGTCATTAATTCCCTCAAGTATACCTTCTAAATGTCAGGTTGTTGTTGTTGTTAGGTGCCATTGACTTGGTACCAATCCATAGTACCCTTATGCACAACAGGAAAAAAACAACACTGCCCTCTCCTGGACGAACCTTACAATAATTGCCATATCCTACCTCATCATTGCCACCACTGTGCCGTGCCAATCCATCACATTGAGTGTCTTCCTCTTTTCTCCAACCCTCCACTCTACCAAACATGATATCCTTCTCAAGCTACTTGTGCCTCCTGAGATGATATGTCCAAAGCATCCAGTGCCACCTCACTTTGTTGAAAGATTTCAATTTGTATTCTATCTATTCCTGGTGCCTTGTTCTTTGTCAATGACTTCAATGCACCTTGGCCTTCTTCCTTCAGGATCATTGGCACTTGATCATATGCTACCTCTTGAAATGGTTGAACACTGACCCTTTCTTTTTGGTACAGTAATTGTGTATATTCCTTCCATCTTCTTTTGATGCTTTCTACATCATTCAATGTTTTTCCCATTGTTGTTTTTAGGTGCCATCGAGTCGGTATCCACTCATAGTGACCCTATGCACAATAGAATGAAACACTGCCCGGCCCTGGGCCAACCTCACAATTGTTGCCACACTTGAGTCCCTTGATGCTGCCACTTTGCCAATCCATCTTGGTGGGGGTCAATCTTACCAGCTGTTCCTTGGAAATCCTATAAGGGTGGATATGGGTCGCAACTGACTTGATGGTACTTAAGAACAGCAACAACATGTTTATTCATTATAATAGTGCTATTTTTTATTATTTGTTCATTACTAATTCACTGAGTAGTCAATGGCTAGGTTCCAACTAAGTATCAAACACAGTTGTTGTTGTTGTTGTTGTTAAGTACCATCGAGCCAGTTCCAATGCATAGCTACCCTGTATAAGGTTTCCAAGGAGCAGCTGGTGAGCTTGAACCACCAAAAGTTGGTGTCAAACACAGTTGTTGTTGTTGTTAAATGTCATCGAGTAGATTCCAACCCATAGCGATCCTGTATAGGGTTTCCGAGGAGCAGCTGGTGACCATGAACCGCCAATTTTGAAGTTCAAACGGCTTTGCAATCTGGCAATAAACACACAGCGCCACACCAGGACTCTACCAAACACAGTTGTTGTTAAATGCCTTGGAGTCAATTCTGACCCAGAGCGACCCTTTATAGGGTTTCCGAGGAGCAGCTGGTTAGCTTGAACTGCCGACCTTGCAGTTCAAACGGCTTTGT